ATTTAATAATGTCACGCGCCCGTGCTCCCCCGACGCGACGCAGAATCCCTGGGGAGGGGGAAGGAGCGTCGAACCTCAGGTTGAACGCGTCTGAGGCTGCGCTTTTGTTCCCTCTGTTTTGATTGGCTGAGCAGTCTTAATGAACTTGCCCGTGGTTGGAATAAGGAATTGAAGATATGTCGTCTTTATTAAAGCAGTCCTGGGACCTGAACTGGCTGATTTAATAAAAATCATGCAGAGTTTAACATCGTATTTAAATAGCAGTAAAAATGAGGTGTTCGAGTTTAATAATGTGAGTGCAGTCCTCTGTCTAGATGTGTAATGGCTAAGGTAGCTTTGACCTGTGTCGAGGTCCTTCTCTTCCAAAGCTTTGGTTACTGCTGAGATTAACTAGTACCAGTTCTGAAAAGAGCTTCCCTGGGAATGTGGCGAAAAACGGTCTCAAAGCATTGTGTCCGCCTGTTCTGTGGCGGCCATCGATTCCTGTGAAAACAGGGTCTTCTGGTTATTTGCACGTCTCCTCAGTGATTCACCGGAGGTTTTCTGCCTCTCAGGCGGATCGGCGGACTGGCTGTGGCATTTTGGGATGTCATACCTGTCGGTGGGGGTGGCTACACTGCCCAGTTCTTTGCCACCTTTCCACCCTGTTTGTTCTAGCCTTGTTTTCTTTTCTGATTTGTTCTGCTTCAGCTTTCGATGCGTCCCGTCTGTGCCACACCTGCTGCTGTAAGTGAGCATTTGTGTGTGTTTTTTAATTAAACAGATGCATTAATAAAAGCCGCTTCAGCCGCTTTGGCGAATGAAATTCACGGGTCGATCATTGAGAATGATTCAATATTCAGAGAGAGTAGCTCGGAAAGTGGTATAAATTCTCGCTGGAGGCGGGACCATGACACGTGTAAACATTCCTTCTCCCGCAAACGGGTTCTGATATTACTAATGGTTATCTAAATATCTCACATGACCGATTGCTCTCTTTTTTTTCTGTGACTTTAGTCCCGTTCTGTGCACTGCAATCTGTCAGTATGTGTCGTGCATCTCGCCTCTGTGTACAGACCTGCTTCTCTGATCTTGTAAAGAACTTGGAATTTGTATGTGGAAGTTTCCGTGTTTCTTTTTTTACGGTTTATATTTGGACCTGAAAGAACAGTGGATTTATTTATTTTTTTTTGTTCCCCTCTGAATTTTCCCCCGCAGTGTGAATCTCATAATCAGTATTTCACCGCTTTCCTGTTCAGCTCCGATGAACCGAGCCTCAGCATGATTTCTTGATCAGAGAAGAACCAGGTGATTGTGCACAGATAAAACCTGTTAAGGACGCACCTTGGTGCAATCCATTTTGTCCCCCCCAACCCTGTTCTGTAGAACCCAGTCCTGGTCTCTCCATCGAAGCGCTGAACCCAACCCTGGAACGTGGTTCAGTGTGTGTTTAAATAGTGCCAGGATGAATGAGCACGGCTGGTGATTCATCTAATGTGATACAATTGACTCGAGGCTTACAAAGTCATTACAGGCCTCTGAGTCCGGGTCAGCGTGGGAGGTGACTGGCAGTTAGCATGTCGCTCTCATTGTTAGCTGAAGGACGTCTCTGTCTTTGGTTTGAGGAGAGGCTCTCGTTTGAATACAAAGATACTGCCTTTCTCACGATCTGAACCAAACTGGTTACGGTCGGTTCGCTACTTTTGGTTTTGTGCAGTTTGTCTGTCTGCGTGTCCGTGAGTCTGTAGGGATTCTGTCCCCGTTAACAACGGTTAATGGGTTCCTTAGTCACTGACTCCGGTGCCTAAACTTCACTTAAGACTCTTAAAACGATGTCCCTTAATGACCAAAAATAGGAACCGTGTAAGGCACGCTTAAGAGTGTGTACCGGGTAGCATTGTGCCCAGCGCATAAAATTGATTAATGAACCTTTTCCAAGGAATATCCGTAATGATCGTTCAGCTGGGAAAGAGCCGGAGACTGAGAAGCTGCTGGCTGAATTTATGTTTTGAGGGTGGGTGGGTTACTCCCTTCAGTCCTGGATGGTGCAGTGGTCTGTCTGTGAAAGGGAGGTAAAGGACCTCTAGTGGTGCTGTGTTCAATTAAAATGACTGACATTCAGAGGGGTTAGAGTGAAACACTTTACAGGCAGGCAAATGAACACAGAAGGCGGCCATTTTGGCAGCAACATAGAGGAACAAAGGGGGTGTTAGATCCCGTGCCGGTGCTCGGGTTGTGTTCCCCGGACCTTGACAAAGCAGAACTCTGTCCCAAGGACTGGCATCAAGGTCCGCGTGAAATAAATGAATGTTTACCCCCCTCCCTCTGAAGGTTCGACCCTCCCCCACCTCTTTGAAAACACAACTGACACATCCCTCTTAATTTTCAGAGGTACAGATTGCAGAAAAGTGTGAAGGTTTGCATTTTTCCTGCCCGGATCAGACCACGTTCCGAAGGGCAGCGGGCTTGGCATGCTTTTGATGTGCGCAGACCTAAAGTTCACTTTTTTCCCCCTCCGCTGCAGTATTTGTGGATAAGTGTGTTGATAAAAAAAAATTTAAATAAATAAATGTCAGAAGTTGCGAGCTGTGCTGTTGGCTGCGGAACCTCAGCTTATCGTCGTCAGTGTGGAAGTTTAGAGAGAGATCCTCTGGTCTTATGAATATGTCAAGCTGTGAGATTTGTAGTTAATCCGTTAATATAGTCTGGGATCATGTCAGGCGCGCTGTCCGGGACACTGGCATTGATTTAGGTGAAATCCTTCTGGCCACACTGTAGGCTGGGGGCCGAATCTGTAACGGAGACGGCTCTCTTTGTTTTTCCTTTAAAATAAAATAAAATAAAATAAATAAAATCTTCCTCTGTCAAGTAAGCGTTGAATAATGGGGGATTTGTGGACTGTGGTGTGCGTGTGCGTGTGTGTGTGTGTGTGTGTGTGTGTGTGTGTGTGTGTGTGTGTGTGTGGGGGGGGGGGGGGGGGGGGGGGGGGGGGGGGGGGGGGGGGGTTGCAGTATACCCATATGCCCAAATCCCTTCGAACAAGCGAACCAACGTGTTCTTCCCCCTGAGGCTTCATTAATTGATCGAAATCTCGGGTGTCAGGCGAAAAAGGAGCACGGCTTAAATTTGCTGAATGTTAGGCTGTTAGGATGGGTGGCCCATCAGCCCCCCCATACCCCCCCCTGCCAGTATGGGCTCAAACAGCAGAGTTTCACACCACACACTAAACCCATTTCCTGAAATAGGTTTGTGACAGAGATAATATTGAGTGGTGGGGGGGTTTGGGGAGTCATTCACTCAATTACAGCAAACCCTTACCCCCCCTCCCCCCCACGCCATTCCTACGATCCGTCGTGCTCAACGATGTGTTAATTACTCCAAGCGGCGATGGGCTTGTGATACCACTGCTCATTGATGCACCCTCCCCCCCCGCCGGTATTGCCCAAGCTGTATCTTCCGGCTGTCCATCTCTGCACTCCCCCACCCCCGCCCCCAGTCGTCGTGGCCTGCCGATTTTAATCTCCTGCTACTTTGCTAATTGCTAATGAACCCCTCCCCCCTTTATCTCCAGGTTCGGTAGGGAGGGGGTGTCTGATTAGTATTTCAGCGAGGTGCCACTTGCTTCAATGGCCCCCAGTGTTTCTCGACATGCTTCTAAAATCGCCACGGAGACCGTATGTGGTGACACGGGGGGGGGGCGATGAATCATAACAAAGTGCCTCATAAAGCCAGCACATCTGGAAGTGTGCACCCGTGTCGATGGAGGGCCTCGCTAGATGCCCTATGGGACCTCCCCCGAAATGCCCCTGGGGGTTTCGTGCCTCTGTGTTGGTCGGCAAAATCACACTCGCTCTGTGGCCAGTTCCCATTTTAGCTGCGGTGCATTTAGGGGGGGAGGGGGCACAAATCATCCTATACCAATACTTAGGTTCTCTCTCTCAATTGGCTATAAATAAATGCCGTCGGCCCTGCAGTTACTATAGCAGCTCTCGAACCCGGCACCAGTGGGCACTGAACGCGCATCCTTAATTCCACCCTTCCCAGATGGCGCCCTGCCATAGAAGCTGCCTGTTCACTGCCGAGGGGGGAGGGGGGATGTTAACCCCATTTACATAATCCGCGCCTTAGCGCTCCTCCAAGGAACGTGGGCCAGCAGTGCAGACAATGCAGCAATGCAAAGTGCAAGCATGCCCCGCTGTCCTGCATCGCAATCCAGAGCGTGCGGACACCATGGGATCAATCCACTGACAGCTCAATGAG